CCCGGATTCCGACAAATGGCTAGAAGCCATGAAATCCGAGATAGGATCCATGTATGAAAACGAAGTATGGACTTTGACTGACTTGCCCGTTGAGCGGCGAGCCATAGAAAATAAATGGATCTTTAAGAAGAAGACAGACGCGGATGGTAATGCGACCATCTATAAAGCTCGGCTTGTCGCTAAGGGTTATCAACAAGTTCAAGGGGTTGACTACGATGAGACTTTCTCGCTGAAGTCCGTCCGAATCATGTTAGCAATTGCCGCATTTTATGATTATGAAATATGGCAGATGGACGTCAAAACGGCATTCCTTAATGGTTTCCTTAAGGAAGAATTGTATATGATGCAGCCGTAAGGTTTTGTCGATCCTAAGAATGCTGACAAGGTGTGCAAGCTCCAACGCTCGATTTATGGGCTGGTGCAAGCATCTCGGAGTTGGAACATTCGCTTTGATGAGATGATCAAAGCGTTTGGGTTTACGCAGACTTATGGAGAAGCCTGCGTTTACAAGAAAGTGAGTGGGAGCTCTGTAGCATTTCTCATATTATATGTAGATGACATACTTTTGATGGGAAATGATATAGAACTCTTGGTCAGCATCAAGGCCTACTTGAATAAGAGTTTTTAAATGAAGGACCTTGGTGAAGCTGCTTATATATTAGGCATCAAGATCTATAGAGATAGATCAAGACGCCTCATAGGTCTTTCACAAAGCACATACCTTGATAAGATATTGAAAAAGTTCAATATGGATCAATCTAAGAAGGGGTTCTTGCCTGTGTTACAAGGTATGAAATTGAGCTCAGCTCAATGTCCGACCACGGCAGAAGATATAGAAGAGATGAGTGTCATCCCCTATGCCTCAGCCATAGGTTCTATTATGTATGCCATGCTGTGTACCAGACCTGATGTAAACCTTGCCGTAAGTTTGGTAGGAAGGTACCAAAGTAATCCCGACAAGGAACACTGGACAGCGGTCAATAATATCCTGAAGTACCTGAAAAGGACTAAGGAAATGTTTCTCGTTTATGGAGGAGACGAAGAGCTCGTCGTAAAGGGTTACGTCGACGCTAGCTTCGACACAGATCTGGATGACTCTAAGTCACAAACCGGATACATGTATATTTTGAATGGTGGGGCAGTAAGCTGGTGCAGTTGCAAGCAGAGCGTCGTGGCGGGATCTACATGTGAAGCGGAGTACATGGCAGCCTCGGAGGCAGCGCATGAAGCAATTTGGGTGAAGGAGTTCATCACCGACCTAGGAGTCATACCCAATGCGTCGGGGCCAATCAAACTCTTTTGTGACAACACTGGAGCTATTGCACTTGCCAAGGAGCCCAGGTTTCACAAGAAGACAAGGCACATCAAGCGTCGCTTCAACTTCATTCGTGAAAATGTTCAAGATGGAGACACAGATATTTGTAAAGTGCATACGGACCTGAATGTAGTAGATCCGTTGACTAAACCTCTCCCTAGGGCAAAACATGATCAACACCAGAATTCCATGGGTGTTCGATTCATCACAATGTAACTAGATTATTGACTCTAGTGCAAGTGGGAGACTGTTGGAAATATGCCCTAGAGGCAATAATAAAATCATCATTATTATATTTCCTTGTTCATGATAATTGTCTTTATTCATGCTATAATTGTATTATCCGGAAATCGTAATACATGTGTGAATAATAGACACCAACATGTCCCTAGTAAGCCTCTAGTTGACTAGCTCGTTGATCAACGGATAGTCATAGTTTCCTGACTATGGACATTGGATGTCATTGATAACGAGATCACATCATTAGGAGAATGATGTGATGGACAAGACCCAATCCTAAACATAGCACAATATCATATAGTTCGTTTGCTAGAGTTTTCCAATGTCAAGTATCTTTTCCTTAGACCATGAGATCGTGTAACTCCCGGATACCGTAGGAGTGCTTTGGGTATATCAAATGTCACAACGTAACTAGGTGACTATAAAGGTATACTACGGGTATCTTCGAAAGTGTCTGTTGGGTTGACACGGATCAAGACTGGGATTTGTCACTCCGTATGACAGAGAGGTATCACTGGGCCCACTCGGTAATGCATCATCATAATGAGCTCAAAGTGACCAAGTGTCTGGTCACGGGATCATGCATTACGGTACGAGTAAAGTGACTTGCCGGTAACGAGATTGAACGAGGTATTGGGATACCGACGATCAGATCTCGGGCAAGTAACATATCGATTGACAAAGGAAATTGTATACGGGGTTGCTTGAATCCTCGACATCGTGGTTCATCCGATGAGATCATCGAGGAGCATGTGGGAGCCAACATGGGTATCCAGATCCCGCTGTTGGTTATTGACCGGAGAGCGATCTCGGTCATGTCTACATGTCTCCCGAACCCGTAGGGTCTACACACTTAAGGTTCGGTGACGCTAGGGTTGTAGGGATATGTATATGCAGTAACCTGAATGTTGTTTGGAGTCCCGGATGAGATCCCGGACGTCACGAGGAGTTCCGGAATGGTCCGGAGGTAAAGATTTATATATGGGAAGTCCTGTTTCGGCCATCGGGACAAGTTTCGGGGTCATCGGTATTGTACCGGGACCACCGGAAGGGTCCCGGGGGTCCACCGGGTGGGTCCACCTGCCCCGGGGGGCCACATGGGCTGTAGGGGGTGCGCCTTGGCCTACATGGGCCAAGGGCACCAGCCCCAAGAGGCCCATGCGCCTAGGGTTCACAAAAGGGAAGAGTCCCACTAGTGGAAGGCACCTCCTAGGTGCCTTGGGGGGAGGGAAACCTCCCTTGGCCGCCGCCCCCCTAGGAGATTGGATCTCCTAGGGCCGACGCCCCCCCTTTGGCCCTCCTATATATAGTGGGGGAAGGAGGGCTTTTCATCCATGCCTTTGGTTGCCTCCTTCTCCCTCTCCAACACCTCCTCCTCCTCCATAGCGCTTGGCGAAGCCCTGACGGAGTACTGCAGCTCCATCACCACCACGCCGTCGTGCTGCTGCTGGAGCCATCTTCCTCAACCTCTCCTTCCCTCTTGCTGGATCAAGAAGAAGGAGACGTTACGCTGACCGTATGTGTGTTGAACGCGGAGGTGTCGTCCGTTCGGTGCTAGGATCTCCGGTGATTTGGATCACGTCGTGTTCGACTACCTCATCCCCGTTCTTTGAACGCTTCCACTCGCGATCTACAAAGGTATGTAGATGCATCCGATCACTCGTTACTAGATGAACTCATAGATGGATCTTGGTGAAACCGTAGGAAAATTTTTGTTTTCTGCAACATTCCCCAACAATATGCCCTAGAGGCAATAATAAAATGATTATTATATTTCCTTGTTCATGATAATTGTCTATTATTCATGCTTTAATTGTATTATCCGGAAATCGTAATACATGTGTGAATACATAGACCACAATGTGTCCCTAGTGAGCCTCTAGTTGACTAGCTCGTTGATCAACTGATAGTCATGGTTTCCTGGCTATGGACATGGGGATGTCATTGATAATGGGATCACGTCATTAGGAGAATGATGTGATGGACAAGACCCAATCCTAAACATAGCACAAGATCGTATAGTTCGTTTGCTAGAGTTTTTCCAATGTCAAGTATCTTTTCCTTAGACCATGAGATCGTGTAACTCCCGGATACCGTAGGAGTGCTCTGGGTGTACCAAACGTCACAACGTAACTGGGTGACTATAAAGGTATACTACGGGTATCTTCGAAAGTGTCTGTTGGGTTGACATGGATCAAGACTGGGATTTGTCACTCCGTATGACGGAGAGGTATCTCTGGGCCCACTCGGTACATCATCATAATGAGCTCAAAGTGACCAAGTGTCTGGTCACGGGATCATGCATTACGGTACGAGTAAAGTGACTTGCCGGTAACGAGATTGAACGAGGTATTGGGATACCGATGATCGAATCTCGGGCAAGTAACGTACCGATTGACAAAGGGAATTGTATACGGGGTTGCTTGAATCCTCGACATCATGGTTCATCCGATGAGATCATCGAGGAGCATGTGGGAGCCAACATGGGTATCCAGATCCCGCTGTTGGTTATTGACCGGAGAGCCGTCTCGGTCATGTCTACATGTCTCCCGAACCCCTAGGGTCTACACACTTAAGGTTCGGTGACGCTAGGGTTGTAGAGATATGAATATGCAGTAACCCAAAAGTTGTTTGGAGTCCCGGATGAGATCCTGGACGTCACGAGGAGTTCCGGAATGGTCCGTAGGTGAAGAATTATATATAGGATGTGCAGTTTCGGCCATCGGGAGAGTTTCGGGGGTCACCGGTATTGTACCGGGACCACCGGAAGGGTCCCGGGGGTCCACCGGGTGGGGCCACCCATCCCGGAGGGCCCCATGGGCCAAAGTGGGGAGGGGAACCAGCCCATAGTGGGCTGGTGCGCCCCCCTTGGCCCACCCCATGCGCCTAGGGTTGGGAACCCTAGGGTGGGGGGGCGGCCCACCTGGCTTGGGGGCACTCCACCCCTTGGCCGCCGCCCTCACCCCCGCCCCCTAGGAGTTCCCATCTCCTAGGGCCGGCGCACCCCCTAGGGGGCCTATATAAAGGGGGGGAGGGAGGGGCAGCCGCACCCTTGAGTCTTGGCGCCTCCCTCTCCCCTGCTACACCTCTCCCTCTCGCAGTATAACGGCGAAGCCCTGCTGCGGTGACGCCCTGCATCCACCACCACGCCATCGTGCTGCTGGATCTTCATCAACCTCTCCTCCCCCCTTGCTGTATCAAGAAGGAGGAGACGGCACGCTGACCGTACGTGTGTTGAACACGGAGGTGCCGTCCGTTCGGCGCTAGGATCTCCGGTGATTTGGATCACGTCGATTACGACTTCCTCATCCCCGTCCTTGAACGCTTCCGCGCGTGATCTACAAAGGTACGTAGATGCAATCCGATCACTCGTTGCTAGATGAACTCATAGATGGATCTTGATGAAACCGTAGGAAAATTTTTGTTTTCTGCAACGTTCCCCAACATTTTCATGATCTTTCCAGTGTATTCCTTGACTCTCGTGCTGAGTGGTTGTTGCCATGTTTCATGCCTAGAACAGGCTGGAGGCATTGCTTGTGCTCACTGATAGATCTTCTCGAGAATTCTGTGAGCAAGTACAGATCTCACATTGAAGATATTCTTGAAAAAATGGCCAGAGAAAACGAGAGCTCTAAGCAGGATAGTGAGAAACCTTGTTGTGTTTTGGCATCAGAGCCTCCTGCAGCAGAGCAAGAAAAGAATCCACGTTATCCTTTACATTCCAGTCTCAAGTCCAAAGATCATCTTACTGTACCTCTCCCGGTGTTCCGGAAGCCAGTACAGAACATGCCTGAAGAAGGGGAAAAAGAATACCACAAGGGGGGATGGTGTGATTCTGAAGCACTGAAGGAAGCACTCCGAGTACTGCCTTTCAAAGGTTATTTGAAAGATAGTTTCAACAAACTCTCGGGGGATTTGTGCGATTGCATTGAGACATTGTACCATGATCATCCAAGAAATTCAGAAACAAGACGCAGTTTTCAGTGTATGCTAGAAGTGGTTGAGTTGATCAAAATTCTTCCTGCTTTAATAAACTGTGACAAGGATAATAGTGATATATGGTCTGATGAACTTCTTGAGAGAAAGATACAAGATGGTGGTGACCCTACTTTGTGGCGTGAGGAGCTCACCTGTGTGCAGACTAACACATGCAATAAATCTAAGTTCAGGTTGGCCAGATCCCTGTGTGTGCAAGAACTAAGATATCTTGTTGATAACCTGGACCTTCCAAATTGTTACAGCATAAAAGAAATTCAATTCTACCTGTTGCAAAGAGTGAAATGCATTCTCTGTACAGTTTCCAGCTCATTCAGGTTGTACAATGTGCCCATGGACAATTCTCCTTCAGATATATGCTGGTTGGTCAAGAAGTCTGAAAAGTTGACTCTTGACTTGCTGATTGTCGATGAGGCTGCACAGCTTAAAGAGTGTGAAACCTTAATTCCTTTGCAGCTGCCAGGCATAAGGCAGGCTGTTTTTATCGGAGACGAATATCAGTTACCTGCTCTGGTGAAAAGCAAAGTAAGCTATATATGTTGACTATTCTCTGCTTTCATTTATTTATTTCTTTTGAAAGTGATGTATTTTGACATGTAATGTGATTATGTAGATATCTGACAATGCTAAATTTGGGCGAAGTGTTTTTGAGAGGTTAAGTATGCTGGGTTATTGTAAGCACCTTCTCAATGTGCAATACAGGATGCATCCAAAAATAAGCAAGTTTCCAGTTGTTACATTTTATGATGGCAAGATATCTGATGGTCCCAATGTCACTACTAAGAGCTATGAGAAGAGGTTTTTAGCAAGCAAAATCTTTGGGTCATACTCATTCATAAATGTAGATGGAGGACATGAAACAACTGAGAAGCACGGGCATGGCTGGAAAAACACAATTGAAGCTGCTGCAGTTTCGAGGATAGTGCAGAGGTTGTTCAAAGGTAACCAACAGTATTCAGTCGTGGTACTCTATTTTTTGTAAAGAACCTCCATTGATAAATATATGAGGTTGTGTTTTGGTTTGTCACATAGCGAAAGTCATGAAAGCAAGAGATTATTTGAGGGAAATGACAGTGTTACCCATGGTATTAATGTGCTGCGAATAAGAGAGATAAGTCTATGAATTTGCAGTCATAAATGTTGTGCGAGGGGGGAAGAGAAATGTGAGCTAAAGAGAGAAAATGTTGGTACAATATTTTTGAGAGGAAGGAGAAATAATTAGTATGCTGTTCTGTGATGTACGTACATACAATCTGAGCCACTAGTAGCTTGTCCTTGGTTCACTGCTTGTATAATAGTTCTTTTCCCTCAATTGCAGAGTCATTCTCTACAGGAATCAAAATCTCCGTTGGTGTTGTGTCCCCATATAATGGTCAAGTTAGAGAAATCTCTGAGAAACTTGGGAAATCCTACGATAGGTACGACGGTTTCTCGGTGAAAGTGAAATCTGTGGATGGTTTCCAAGGTGCGGAGGAAGATATCATTATCATATCAACAGTGAGGAGCAATAAAGCTGGTTCTGTTGGATTTCTCACAAACATGCAGCGGACCAATGTGGCTCTCACGAGAGCTAAGTAAGTTTTTTGGTAGCTCGATTCCAGGGTATCTGCAAAAATGATTTTAAATTATATACTCCTTGTGGTCTTCCAAATTTAACTTGGACAGTTAATTCTTCTATAATACGGTGCTAAATATGAATCCACCAGTATCACTTTTATGCCACAAAACTTCCATATAGTTGGAATTACTGTTGGTTTAAAGCTACATAGTTTGAATGATATTCAAAGGCTCTTTATTGCCATCAGGAGTAACTTATTTGTTGTTGATCTTGCCAGGCACTGTTTATGGATAGTAGGAAATGGGACGACTTTATCCAACAGCAAGTCTGTTTGGCAGAAGATAGTCAAAGATGCGCAAGACCGGGATTGCTATTTTGATGCCGATGAGGACAAAGATTTGTCAAATGCAGTATTCAAGGCTGTCATCGAGCTCGACGATGCTGATAATCTAGTGGAAAAAATGGACTCGCTTGATATAGGCAAGCCAAGGTCTCAGGTATAACCAAAAGCCTTTCTGAAAATAGCTCATCATACGGACATGTCATATAAAAGCGCTGACAAATACGGTTGCTGGCAAGTGTGAGCTAACGTTTTTCATGTTTTATATGCAGAAATCAAGGTCCAAATACCGTTCATGAGATGTCAGGAGCCCCGAAATAGTACGGGTTGTTGTTTGTGTCACCTGGGCTTTGCTGAAGAAACTTCCACCTGCGTTGGTATGGCATGGCTGCTGTCGTGAGATGCCGTGTATTTTGTTGAACCTATGTAGCTTGATGCACGTTTGATCGCTGAAGCTCAGTTGCATTCTGCTAAGAGCCTAAGACTGATAGAACTTTTATCCTGGACAAGACGTTGTTAATTACAGTACTGTAGGAGTATCATGCAGCTGGAATGTGGCACGAAACAGCTTATTATCTCTTTCTCGCTTTTGAACTGCCGAAACAGCTTCTCACCATATATTCAGTGGTTCAGACTTTATTCATCACACATGACACGTGCACTTCATTATTTTGGGGTAAGCTATATATAGAGCGGGTCGCCGGAGTGCACCACGGGCGCGGTCACGCGCGCTCAGCAGTCGATGTGGATGCTGCGCCAGCCGAAGTCGCCGCAGGCCTGGGTGTCCTCGAACACCTGGTACGGCGTGCCGGCGCAGCCGTGCTCGCTGTAGAGCGTCGCCGTCTCGCCGCGGAAGTTGAACTCGTGGCCGCCGTGGAAGTGGACGGGGCTGCACCCGCAGGTCCCCGCGCTCGACATGCGCCCCGTGCACGCGGGCCCGTCCCACGACGAGAAGTAGCTCCTCGGCCCCGTCCCGTCCGTCGCCGCCACGGTGATCGCGGCCGCGGCCAGAATGGCGACGGCCATCGCCGCGGCAATCATCTTTGCGGCCATGATAACAGTGCTAAGGGTAGAAATGGCGATACCTTTTCCCTTCTTTTCGTATCGCACGGCATCATGCGTGTTCGGTTCTTGGTTTTATAGGTGAAGCCAAAAGGGAAGGTGGTCGAGTTCCTAGGGCTTGACGGTTTATTGTGTTGTGATTTTTCGTTGTGTCTGTCGATCTAGAGAGCTTACATCGTTGCGTACGTGTCTGTGTAGTTCTCTGTTTACCTTTGCTGTTGTCATCAACGAGTCAACGTATATAGGGCGATACTAATGTTACAAACCTGCAACAAGGCTTGGAAAACTACAACTGAAAATGAACAATCGTGCATACCTATCTATTGAAAAGAAATTCACGTGCGAACTAGCGTGATGGTTAGGAGGACAGTGATAGCCTCAGTCCACCAGGGTTTAAGTCCTAGACTTGACATTAGTACTCGCATTATTTCTGTATTTATTTCAGCCTTTTAGTGATGTTTTTTCGGTGGGAGGAAATGTTTCCGTCGACTGCAAGGCGCCCGTGGTAACTTCATAAAATCTCAAAATGCTATGTCGGTCCAGTCTCTCGGATGTGCTCATAGGGGTAGAGTGTGCATGCATGTGCTCATATGGATGAATGTATGTGAGCGACTTCGATTGTACCGTATTAAAAAAATCCACGTCTTCTATTTCAAAAGTATATTTTTGTTAAAAATGAAATAAATTACACTTTAGAACAAGAATAACACTGGGTCAATTATACAAAAATATTCTGAGAAAGACGAAGCATCACAATTATTGCATTCTTACTGCAATCTCTCCTGCTAGGTCATGTGGATCCCTCCACTGGGGAGGCAGGAGTCCTTAATTCATGATGTTGAGGGGGGACTCGATATAAAAAATCTAAATGAAATTTTACTGTTTATCTCTCAAGGTAAGAGTTTCGAAGTCTTGATCCCTTGACGCATTGAAGGCGTATCCCTCCACAAATAAAGGCCCCCTCACTCCTTAACCAGCTTAGTAAAGTTTCCATTAAGGTAATCATTTTATATTTTGTGTAAACCCTTTTGCTCTTCATTTTATATATCAACTGACTCAAACCCACATATGTAACTTATTTTCTACTCTTCTATCAATGAAAGGTACACAGACTTTGTGTATTCGTGAAAAAACTCCTTTTGAGGGTTTCTGAAAGTGAAAACCAAACCATATGCAAGCTACACTATGGAAATGAAGTGGTTTTGTATTGCCGTTTGTCTTTTTTAGTTTGAGTTATTATGATAAGGATCCTACATGAGAAGCCTCTTGGGTAGTTCTCTGGTAGGTTTTTGCACAACCATCGTAGACCAACCAGAGCCTATGGTCGTAGAGAAGTGTTCTCCTCAAGTGAAACTGCCTGGGAAAATGATAAAAAAGAACATCAGATATAATTGAGAATAAAGACATCTATGAAAAGATATAAATGCCCTTAAGAAAGTTAACTAGAACTAATATTCAAAAAAAAGTTAACTAGAACTATGGTGAGTATTGAGTAGGAATTTCAGATCCCGTCGACCCAATATGGTGAGATCTCATGTGGGCTTTTTCACATGCATAATTGCATAACGAGGCAGATCTTTTTTCATGCATGATTGCATGGTGAGGTGGCATGTTTATAAACTGAGAAGAATATGTTTGTGGGAATAACTTGTTTTGTTATTTTTGCAAAAACAAACTTGCAATATATTCATCAAACATCATGGCACTACAAAGAATACGAGAAATAATAAAATTACCTCCATGTCCATAGATCACCTAGCAATGACTACAAGCACTGGAGCGAGCCGAAAGCGCACCGTCGTCGTTATCGCCACTCCCTCACCGGAGCCGGGAAAACCTTATTGTAGTAGATAGTCGGGAAGTTGTAGCGCTCAGACCCCAAATGAACAACGCACTAGAACAACAACCACCACGATGAAGAGAAGTGTAAATCGGAAGAATCCAATCCGTCGACATATGAATGCAAACGAACGAAGGCTGGATCCATGCAGATTCACCAAAGACAAACACGGACCGAATCCCGTGAGATCCGCTAGAGAAGCACCTCCACACGCCCTCCGATGACGTGATGCGTCGCTGGGACGGGGACTAAGCGGGGAGAATCTTATTCCATCTTCAGGGAGTCGTCACTATTCCGCCTTCCTAAACAGGACACAGACCCTAAACAAACTAAAAAAACACCTAAAGACTAAGTATGAGCCCTTCCACCGGCAAGAGCCGGGATCCACTGCACTTCCATGGCCCTACGGCCGCAGGAGACGAGGCAGATCGATGACAACACCTGTGGGAGACGACCAAACCCTAAATGCCTGAGGGTCTTTCTTTCTTTCTCAGGAAGAAAGAAAACACATGTATGTCTCACTTATTTTGTAATATGTCGAACTTATTTTTTAATATTGTATAGTAAGTATTATCGGAAGCACTATTACTAAAGCAATAGAGCTCAAACCAAATTATGTTTTTGCTATCTATGTAAAATCTTGCCTTTTGCTATCTACACAAGTTTAGATCGTATATGGTAGCTCGTTTATGGACGGAAATTCACTGGAGGTGCGGGGACACTCACCTGCCAAGTGTTGCTCGGACGCTTGTGTCTCTTGATTCGCGAAATAGTTGGATCTCGCACGAGTTCATAGTAAGATTTAAGTTTCAGTTGTTGAAACTTATGATTTTTCATCTAAAATTTGTGTCTTTCTCGCTCGCTCTTACTAAGTTTCATGGATAAAATTTTAAGAGATTTTTCTTGTCGGTTGTTGGCACAAAAAATTGTGAGTTTATCGATTGCTCGTACTAAGTTTCAAGAATAGTTGAAACTTAACATTTATTTTTAAAATTTGTCAAAGCGTATTTAAAATGGATCTTATTTGAAAGCCCTCATTATGAGAAACACGAATATGAACATAAAACTTAATTTGGACTTTTCATTCAAAAGATATAAAAAATTTAAAATTGGAAGCCAAAATAAAAGCACACCCAAGGGATATGCGTGCCGTGAGGCCTGCGTGCCACAATCCTCCCCATATTTACGGAAACTACTACAGAGAATTGAGTTTATTCTAACTTTATTTTTTCCATTATTTTTTCAACTTTTTCTTGTACTTTTTCGTTGTTTAGAACTTGTATCAATTTTGGTTTAACTGTTATAAGTATATTCTTCTACTTTTATGAAGTTTTAATATGGTTTTATCTTCCATTTTCCCCAATTACAAAGTTCAAAAATTATGTTCCCGTACGGTTCTTTGTGCTGTCTCGGTTGCCGCTGTACTAGGAACCAATTTCAGTGAAGGCAATGGACTAAGTTTAGACGGTTTTGACAAACTAGGCGTCATTTTGTTTGATACTGGAGGTGATGGATTTGAATTTATTTATTTTCACTTCAAAGTAAGTCCGTTAACCTATGCAACATGGACATACTTTTAAGAAAAACAAATCTATTCCTTTCCCTCCCGGCGGCTAGGGCGAAGCTTCGTTACCTCCAAGCTTTGCAGGCGAGCCCGTGGACTCGTCTCCCCTCTGCCTGCCGCTCTGGCGGCCGACGACAAGGCAGGGAGTCTCGGCGCCTCGGTTCAGCTTAGTAGTTTAGCTTAGGTCTTTTTTAGTCCACACAGGTGCAACTCTTCAGCTTGAAGATGGTTTTCCAAGCTTAGATCCTTCCTGAGTTCGTTCGTTGGGATGGAGTCAATGAAGTTCCGGTGTAGATTCTCGCCATCTTCTTGAAGCGATGAGGTTATGATTTCTCGACATGCACACAAGACGGTGAGCTTTGGTGTTATATGTTTCAGATTAATTCAAGGGTTCAATGGTGACTACTGTTGCTCTAGGGCGTTGGGCGTTGCACAAAGAATTTTTGAACGTCATCGACAAGGCTAGGCCAACTCTTGTAAGGAGCGGTGAGGAGCGATGACAACGCGGCTTCAGCGACTCGCTCTGACGTTGGTGGTCGTTCGGTGGTTCAAAGACTTCTATATAGAAGTAATTTTTATTATATATGAGATACTTTATACTTCTCGTGAACTTTATAATCCATTGGGTTCATTTACGCAAAAGAAAAGAAAAGGCATGGGCACACCTTTCCAAGCTCTTGAAACCGTGAAAAGAAAGTAAAGTTTAGATCATGATCCAAAATGTCCCCAACTGACGAGTCATCATGGAAATAAACAGAAGACGATCCACGATCCACATGAAAAAACAACAAACACGAAGCTGCTAGAACGAATCTAAGCGTGACACGTGCAACACTTTTACTCCCCTCCCACCAATCTGCCAATCAGGCCGTCCTTCCACGACAATCTCAAAAGCCGAATCCTCCCAACACGACGCCGTCGCCTCCGCCCCACCCTCCAAACCCGGCGCTTTCCACAACACTTCACATGGG